CTCATCCCAGTCACCCCCCCCCCCCCGTTTGTCGCCCCTCCAAATTACAAAGAAGCAACGAACACGCATTCAAACTCGCCAGTTTCTGTGCACATCAAAGTTCGCATTTATCCCCGGCTCCGATCACGCCCCTAAATTTTTCGTTTCACCGACTTGTGGCCAGCTCCAGACAAGACAATTTCCTCTTAGTTTCCTTATCCTCATTTTCCCTCTACCAGTAGCTGCGTCAGACACCTCGACGTAACTACTCCCATGTAATTACTTTTTTCACTTCTGGCTTTGCACTATTTGGCCAGCTAATATAGTTTTTGAACAGGAAAAGCTCCATAGAATTTTATGGAAATATTTAAGCTTCCAGAACTCATTAATTAGTACAGAAATGTAATTATGGCCCATTACATGTAGTTTTCCCGACATAAACCTAGTCTTTTCTGCAAAAGAAGAGCACCAAGAAAGTAAAAAATTTTTTGAGAGAAATGAAAGCTGAGTCAGTTTTGCAGCAAAGTCATTATTCGCTAGAGAATCCATTTAGTCACTTAACACCAAATATCTGTCAACTTGCAACACTCTTTCATTTGTTCTGTGAATGTTAGGTTAAATTGTTACTTTCCATAATCATTAAGTTCTGGTTTTGCAAAAAGAAAAATCTACAAAAGTAGTGACAATTTATCTAATGAAAGGTTTTTAAAAAAGGCTGAGAACGCTCATTTATTGAAATCTATTTTTCTATCAGTGATCTTATTTTTACTGAATCAAAGAAAATAGACAAAATCTTCGAAAACTCCTTTTTTCGATACAACGCTATTTATCCGTGCTTTTATGTGTAGAAATTCCACAAAAATGAATTAATTTTAGTTCTATTCGCTCATATCATCTACACCTAGAAAAGAGCAAGAAACAAAGATACACACACAGGTGAACTCTAAATAGAAATTTGATTAAAATCTATCCATTTCTTCTTACCTTTAGACGAGTAAAGAATGAGGAAGTAATGTAGAGCTATCATCTTTTACGGACATCTACTTTTCTAACTCAAAATAATTTAAAAATTATAAAGCTATCCGTTTTTTCAATACGCGTAGAAGGATAAATGAGCAAGTAAATTAGAACCTCATGCAGTTTTATTGACATCTATCTTTCTCAGAAATCTTACTTTTGTTGGATCAAACGAAAATGAAAAATTCTCTAAAATATCTGCTTTTTCGGTACCAACGCCTTTTATCAATTCTTTTGTCCTTGAGAATAAAATGAAACAACTTTGCAAGCTTTAGAGTTTATCTTTGTTCAAGATCATCTGTATGAGAAAAGAGGAAGTCAGAATTATTTCCTAAGCAACTCTTTAACGTGTTCCGGGTATGCAATTTCAAAGATCTGACTTTGACGGAATGTTACACTATATCTCACTTTGTGTTATGTATCCCATTCCTTCTCATGTTGCCGAAATTGTCTCTTTCTCCTTTCAAATTTGTTGCATGCTGACTTTTATGAAAGTTTTTTCTCAGGAAAATTTCCCACAGCACATTTCAAACTAGCATCTGTGCAAAGCTCTGCATGTAATTTGCCCGTCACGCCTCTTTTTTCCTCGGACAAATTTCGTCTGTCTAACGCTCTGAGATGTGTGTATTTGTTCCAGAATCGCCCGTCAGAAAATGGCATTAATCTACGCAAATGCAGTTAATAAGCGTATGAATAACCCTATAACAAAACCGAAGAAGAAGCACACCCCATCCTGTGCCGCTTATCTCGATGACAGCTCAATTGGTACAGCTAGGGATCGGAAAAGAAGTACAAGTCGTGATGCGGCCACACCGTTGCGAAAAACGTAAGCCCCTCCTGACAAATTCTTATGAACTTTCAAGAAAAGCAATCTATTATGTGGACTTTATTACGGGCATGGCTTACTCGAACTAAGCTCTCTCGGCGTAGATTTGGCCCTTAAAATGACCGATTCGGACCGCTTAAAATTTTGAAAGAAGTGCAAGGGGTCATAGGTCATTTCAAGGGCAGCGGAAGGGGATGTTATGTTAATGTGCGAACGTTTAACATTAATTGTCCGCAAGGGGATAATAAATATTGCTTTGCACTTCTTTTCTATGATATACTTGCTAATATAGCCTTCTAGAACTACATGAAGTAAAAAGCGGACGAAATCGAAATTTCGGGCTCTCCTAGGAGGTCTAAAATCATAAGAATTTAGTGTGCACTGATATTTATAAGGCCCTGGTATCTATGGGTTGCCGCAATGAATTCCAATTTTGATGTGCAATACTCCTTTTGCCCCCCAAAGAAGAAATTAGAAAAGACGTCTTCTAATTTCGAGAAAAAACCAGAAGTTACACTCTTTCTAGCGATGTTAAATCTACAGTGCACGTAACGTACGTCGATTAATAATTGTTGCGTAACGTGCGAAAACGCTGGTAAAGGTTTTAGTCTGTATTCTGGTTTATTCAAGTTTTTTTTTGAATTTCATTTTAGTCCCGCAAATAATCCCTACAAGTATGCTCACACCAGTTTATTGGATTGTCGAAAAGTAATGAGCGTTTCTTCTGCTACAGCCGCAGTGTGAATACAAAATTGCATAGGCTATTCGAAAGAGCAAAGCGTGCTCTAGAAGATGACAATTAGTATCCGCATAGATCGTAATCTGCATGAAGTTCAAAGCCATGGTCCACCCAAATCCAGAATAGTGAGATTTTGTTGCTGTACAATAGCAGGGCCCCTGACTAAGTAATTGCTCAAGTCCCGCATCAAAAGATGAATTCCAAAGCGAGAAAATTACTACAGAAGCTAGAAGTGCCCAAGGTGGCTCCGCCCATCAAGGTGCGTGGTCCGAAGTTGAAAAGTCTAAAGTTGGCACTAAGGTAGGTGGAAAGTTTGGAAGGCTGATAACCAGAATGAGGGGAAGATCTCTGATAATTCGCGACACAATTTAGTCCAAGCTTAGATTTTCAAGTTTAGACCACCACGTTAATGGGCGAAGCCGCCTTGGCCGCTTGTACTTTCTAAAGCATGTTTCTTGCCGAATTCATCTTTTGCAGTGGGTTCTGGGCGATTATTTAGCTGATCCCGCTATTATATAACATCTAAATTTCATGGCCCTCAATATGGGTGGACGATGCTTTTGAGGCCAAAATCTAGAGACGTCGAATGCCTCAGAAAGTGGATCTCAGCTTAAGAGAGAATAGTCAGAAGTCGAAGTGGCCAATTCAAGCAAGCTGCCCTATCATTCGATGCAGCATTCAAAGCTAATTTTGACTCTGTACTAGATCTGTTTGGCGCCTTTGTGGACGAAGTTATGAGCAGTTTTAAAAAATCGTACGTAAAAACTGCGAAACTGAGTACATTGTTGAAGTTTCACCTCACCTTCTGCCTTTAAGAATATAAAGTTACCTAGCCGCTTGTTTTGGCCCAGCATTAAGCCGAACATGACCGTGTACTGCCAAATTTACGCTTTGCATGCACGTTTTCCTAGCAAAATAACAGCCTTTAAAGGCTCATAACTTCGCGCACATAGGCGCTAAGCAGATATACCGAATACATATTCGAAGTCAGCGTTTTGTGCTGCGTCTAACGGTATGCAACTTGTCTGCGTTGGCTACTTCGGTTTTAAACCATTCCCTTGTTGGAAAACTCCTACAGATCCGCTTCTTGGCATGTGATGCAAGCAAACAAACATATGTTACACGCACAGCTGCATTTTTTTCACGGCTATAAAGTGTTAGCAAACACAATCACGCGTAGTTTCACACATATAGTTGTGTTATGAAGCTTTGGAAGTAGAAGTATGAGAATGTTAATCCCGTATGTATGTCCTTGTCATCGAAAAATATCACATTTAACCCAAAATGTCATCGAATATATCACATTTAACCCAGCCATAAATTTAACCCAAACCAAAGTAGCTGAATCAGGCAGCTTCACCTTTTCCAACTAGTTTTTCAGTCCAAGAATCCTGCATTTATTTATTTTGCTTTGTGTATACTATATGACTAGGACTGCAAGACTTTTTCGACGATATTCGATCTTAGGGGGTGTTGAATACTTTTTGGTTTTGACTCTCAACTTGAGATAGACCAAGGTTTTTGAGGAAAACTGATAGTTGTCTGGAAGAGCATGCTTTGCTTTATCGGATAGTATACTCCATTTCATTTCGTTACTTTTGCATCGTTCAATAAACCACCATAAACTGCATACTTGTAGGGTTTTTCAAGACCAAAATGAAGTCCAACAATTTGAATAAGGACAGAACACAAAGGACAGAACACAAGATAGACTATTATCTTGATCAGTGCGTATCGTTTTCGCATTTTTTATTAAAATTATTGATCGAGGTACGGTACGTGTACAGTAGGAAATCTAACAAAGATAGAGATGGATGTAACTTCTGCTTTTTTCGAGATTGACGCAAATTTCCACACTTTATTATATTACAACCAAAGAGAGTGATTAAGGGTTACCATACAGCTACAGTACTAACTCGCTTTTTTTCGCCACTAAACTCTAATGGCTACAATTTCAGCTCCTGTAATATTCCCCTACATCTGCAAGCAAATCATTCAAATGCAGATCTTTCCGCACGATCACAACCTCCTTCTCATCGTCCAGTACAAAGGAGCAAAACAAGGTGAGCTCTTTAGATTTTTGGCTCGTTCAGGACGCGGGCATACTTCACGCGAATTCGGTGCCACGCGATTTGGCAATTTGCCAAATGTCTTCAGTTCCTACACTCGCGGACTACAAATGCATATTGCGTACAACTTTCACAGATGGAGAAAATGCGTTTGAATGCGCTTACGATAAGTTATGAACAGTTGGAACATTGCCCATGTCGCGACTGAAATCGCCTAAAGTATGCGCTCGACCTTCGCCCCCCCCCCCCCTCTTCCATCCGCCCATTCTTCGCCGGGTTGAAAGGCTAATTGAGACAGGCGTTTTTCAGTTGTGGAGAATTGTCAAATAAAGATCACGATGAAGACGATATGCATCGGAAGACGTCACATCCGGCAATCAGTCAGTCAACCACGACTGATGCACTGGCTGGCAAACGAGCACAGGATAAACGCGCTCTAGCGAAAAGAAGCCTCATACAGGTGCAATATTTTCGAACAATTGATTTTAAGGCAAGTACGATTTTATTGCTTGAAAAGCAGAAGAACAAGAGACTGCACGGTGTCCTTGACAAAAAATGACAGGACGAAATTTAGTCCTAAAACATTGGGTTGGTCCGAAAGCTCGTTCGGGCCCTTTTTAAAAATTTGTAAATTCTTGAAAACCGCAGAGAATTGTTTGACGTCGAACACTCAATAAAATAAGAAAATGTTGTTTTCAATGGTACATAGCTTAATTGCTTTCATCCCCTTACAAAAACAATGAACGTTTCTAAGCCTTGTTTCAGGACAACTTTTTTCCATCGTTCCTTTCTTGAAAAATACTTAGCACACTGTTAAGAAGCTTTTTTCATGCATTACTCAATGCTGGTTGGATCTGGCATCAAGTTTAGTATGTCAAAAATTTACAGAGCTTCAAACAAATGCACTCAAAACCATTTTTAATTTTTTTGGGCCAGAATTCAAGCGTGAATGACGGCATTTTTTGAAAATCCAGTTACTGAATGAGATGAATATTGTCTACAATATGCGCTTTTTACTGTTTTCTTAGAAATTACCTAGACTGAGATGTCTGCGCCTTATAGATAGTCATTTTAGTCATTCTGTGGTCCATAAATTTCTCCTGAAGAAGGCAATCGCCACAGCTTCGCTCATTTCTCTGTGTTTAACTGTAAGCCTTCTGTAACTGTTGACAACTTTTGCAAAAACTTTCAGCTGTGCAGCACGCAGAAAATCAAAAAAACTCCATAACTTGGAACTTTAAGGCCTATGAAAATTTTTTGAAAAAAGCTGACAATTATGGATTTCGAGTTTTTTCTCTTCGGAAATCTTCTTTGTCCAAACTTTTTTCATCTTCCTTTGTGCTACTGACTTTCTAGTCCAGAAAAGATGCGTACTTGATGGCATGGAATGCTGAGTTCCAATATTTTTTTCGTATCTGCTCGCCTTTGTAAAAGAAGCTATAAGCAGTTTTATTGCGGGAAAATCGCATACAAAAATTGCGAAATTGATCACAATGTTGCCCTTAGCTCAACTTCAAGTATGGATATTATGAAGAATCTAATTGCATTGTTTGGCTAGCATTAAGCCGAACATGGTTTTGTGGACCGAATTTGTACTTTGCACACACATTTTATTGGCGAAATAATGGCTTTTAACAGCTTATAGCTTCTTCCACAAAGGTGCTAAGCAGATAAAGGACATTCTTAAATTGATATTGTTCTATGCTGTATCTAAGGTATTCAAGTATGAATTGGCCACTTCGGTTTTTGACCATTTCGTGCACAGGTTGCAGAGACGAAATGGCTAGAGGAAATCACTCGAGTTTCGGTGATATCGAGCAAGCTCACCAAAACCTAAAACGAGCTGAAGCGGTCATAAACATAAATAGCATAATTTTTGCTTTTCAGCTAAACAAAATTTGCGCTGGAAAGAAGTTTCTAAGTACAATTATGAATCTTCTGAAAACAATACTAAACGACGAAATTGATAATATCTTATATATAAAGCTGAATGTCTGTCTGTATGTCTGTCTGTATGTCTGTCTGTATGTATGTCTGTACGTATGTGCGGAATAGAAATTTTTATTTCTGAACCGATCGGGACCAAACTTGGCACACATATACTTCGGGGCAGGGAGCGTGTCATAGGCTACTCTAGCTCAAATTTTGCAAAAAATCGGTAAAATCGACATCGATCGATAACGAAAAGTGGACTGTGACAAGCTCCGTGCCCCGAAGTGTATGTGTGCAAAGTTCGGTCCCAATTCTATTCGGAACATACGTACACGGGTCTAGCTGGCAGGCCCGGCGGAGCCGGGCAAGCCAGCTAGTTGCTCTTAAAATCGTAGAATCTAATGATGATATTGAATCAGCGCACATATATAATGAAAAAAAAGTTGCAAAACAAATGTAAACGGTTTTTATTACGGTAATGTTTTTAGTTTTCAACTTGCTTACAATTACCAAAACTCAAGTGATCCTATATGCATTTTTATCTCTGCGGGCTCTGCATACAAATGAGCACCTCACATAACTTAAAAAAAACATAATTTCTGATTTCAATAATGTTTACGATAAGCATACCCATCATATCCATGCATCATATGGAAAAGAGTTGGAACCAGCCTAACAGAAAAAAAATTAAGAGGCCGAAAAAGATGGTAAAACTAACGAGTTTAAAAGTTAGCAACGGCATTGGCAGACTAGAGCTTCCTGGAATGGCACTGCTATCACTAGCGTGGTCCCTTTGGCACACCATAACGCATTTTCCAGTAATATTAGTTACAGTGTAAAGTGTATCCAATCTGCGGAAATGCTCAGTTCCGCTTTCATAAATTTCTCACAGAAGTAAGTTGTAATCAGCAGCAATTTTAATGCCACAGTATTAAATGAGCATGCTCTAGGGTCTACTTTATCTATTTAATACAAAATTGGATCATTTTATGTTTAGATTAAGGTAGTTTTAATCAAGGCGACAGAATTTGGTAAGGAATTTGAAACTAATAAACCGGATGACTTGTAAGACAGACTTGTAAGTAGAATCCAAAAAACGTAACACATATTTTGAAAGCGCTGCGATAAAGACTTTTCATGACGAGAAAACTGCATTTTTTATCGGCTACCATCTGTTCCATATGCGTTCCAAAAGTTGAGTCTTGCTGTGAGAACAAAGTACATTTACATTTTTAATGAAAAGAAATCTTGCAGAAATTTCAATAAGTGTCTCGAATTGATACCGAGATATTAAATCACATGAAAAGTTTCTCCGATTTCCTTACCCGCTTCTCAGCCCAAATGAAAATATCCGGGAACAAGATATAGAAGCGGGGGTCATGATCCTTCTAAATAAATTTTGGGTCAGCTAATAATGTGCCGTTATACTGTGTAAAAGTCTCGGTTTACCTACTACTCGGTATTCACACTGCCAGATTGCCGTAGATAGAACCGAAAATAACACATTCTATGATCTACGGCAATTTTTAAAACGTTGAGTGATCAAAAACATGAGACTGGAACCTGCAAAAATCAAAAGATTCCCGTGGAAAATCTATCACTATGAAATAAAAAAGAAAGATTGACGGATCTTAAAATTATCCGCAATGAAAACTTTGCTAAACTTGAAGTTTATTTGCTAATTTCGCACAACAATAAATTTTTGCACATTTTCTCGTCTGAGCTCCCGTTAAAGTGCATGTTTCTGATTTCGGCCAGATTTGGACTTTTTCTGACTGTTATTTTGCGAGATTATAGCATCCACTCAAACATTTTCGGGAAAATGAAACGGAATAGATGCTAGTAGACTAGCACAAAAATGTTGCCTCATTTCCATGAGCGAATGGCAACGATTCCACATTCATTGACTAAGCATCGAAAAATTCAAGAATCTAGTTCACACATTTACTCGCAAAGCTAACGATATAGTAACTTTCTGCAGAAGTACAATCTCGAGCACGGATATGACAATACACTGCGCAATCCTAGTGTGGATGAAAGAAGACGAAGCATCAGTCTAGATCCAGAACAATGGTTCGATCAAGTCACAGGCTCTGGAGACAAGTAAGCTTTTTTGAGTTCAAAAAATCTCTAGAACCTTGCCGGTATGGAAAAATCAAGCTATTCTAGAGCTAAAGTCTACAAAGCTGGAAAAGTTTCTTTGGGTTGAAAATTTTGCAGAGAATCAGTTGGGACATTTTTAGAGTAATTTTAATTGAAAGTGACATAAAATGTGACATTGCAGAATAATCCTTTGGAAAATGCTATACTCATTAATGTGCTTGTTAATTCAGAACAAAAAAAAGAACATTTTAGAAATGCAGGGTCGTAGCCTAGTTCTTTTACATTTTCTTTGTTTTCTTCTATGTGAAGAAGTCTAAAAACTACGGCATTGTTCTGTTTTTGGCATATACAAGGTGTCCCAAAAAATGTGCTTACTAATTGATTGTTAACAGCTCTCTTGTATTGAGGTCTTTCGAAGCTTTAGGCACCATTAAAATTTCTTACGGCCTATTTCACAGTGAAGTCATATGCTTGGAGTTCCTACCGTAATCCCACAGTAATGAAAGGAGACAGGTAACTCGCTCCATATTGTAAATCTAAGTTAAATCAGCTCCAAATACCTCAAGCTCCTCGAAAACATTCGTGACAGAAGAGTTATTATACATCAAACAGTAGGCACATTTTTTGGGACACCCTGTAGAAGAAGGGGACAAAGTTTACAAATCGGTATTTTCACATAAGTTAGAGTGAATGTGAAAGCATTCTCTCAAGGGCATCAATCTCTATTTTTTCTTAATTTTTCAAAAATTCCCTCACCCTTCTTTCCGCCTTTTCAAACTTTTTATGAATTCTATGGGGCATCAGTACTAAAATGAAGGCAAGAGCTCTTTGACAACACAAGAAGTTCGGGACAAAAATTGTCCGAAAAAAATTCAACAAATTTACGATAGATTTTTATGTGGGATATGTACGAAGAGCTACAACACCATATAATTCAGAAATAAGAAAAAATCACTCAAACTACGAAGATTTTTTCGCTACGTGCAACAAGACTTATGTTATGACCCAATGTTTTACGCGAAACATGGGTGGTGTGTGTAACTGCATACATTATTTTACGAATTGACTTGTCTCTATCTGCATAAGCCTTTTTTCTGAACCAAATTGCCCTCCAAAGGAGAAGCAGAAAAATCAGAAGAAGCAAGACAATTTTCAATTCATGAGAGTGTTAAAATATGCATTTCTAAATTTTAATACATGTAAAAGCAAGGATTCACGAGTTACAGGAAAACAAAGATAATCGTGAGAGTCTTAAAACAAATTGCCCTTAGCAAAAGATAAAGGACTTGTTCTGACAAGTTAAAATTCACTGAAGGGTCAGAAACTATTCTTTAAGCAAATTATAAGTTTGCGAAAAATCTGGAAGCGTGCCAAAACAGCAGTAACTTCTGATTATTTGTGACAACCATTAAATCAAATATCAACATCCAAAGTCTTTATCTTTTTTTTTATCTCCTGTGCAAGCCGAACCAGTCGCATTTCGTTGTTCACATTTCAATTTCGTTGTTGTCCATACTAATTTCGCTGCTAAATACTGTTCTTTTGAACATTCTGTAGTGTTTCCTGATATGACATTGATACTGATATAATCTCACGCCTCCACTTTCAACGCTTTGAGAAAAAAGATTGTATAGCAGACACGTAGGTTATAACTTCCTAATCGCACGTTTCTGGTACATATGACTGCAAATCGGCTTATTAATGACATGTTGTAAAAAAACAAATTGTCTCAAAAGTACGTATCCACTATTTGATTGAGAAGAACACCTTTAAGGTCTTGCAACGAATTATGGCAAAAACTTTGTAGGGCATCAACTTATACAGAGTGTCCCAAAAAATGTGCCCAAAGCTTGATTACTAATAACTCTCTTGCCATGAATTCTTTCAGAAGGGATTAGGTGCCATTTTATAGGGCTGGCTTCAACTTAGATTTGCAGTATGGAGCGAATATATCGATCCCTCTTCAATCCTTGCTGTAATATTACGGTAGGAACTCCAAGCATATGACGTCACTGTAAGATAGGCCGTTCAAAAAAATTTTTTTTCAACAAAAATCTAAAATTTGTGTAACAAGGTTTTCATGCATGCTGATTGCACTACTTAATGTTTTGTATGTTCACAGAGCTTTCTGGATGACTTAGTCAGATTTTCGGCGAATATCATGAAACCGTCGTTACTTTATATCTGGCATAAATTATGAAAAAAAAAAAGCATTACAGTGAGTGCAAGTTTCATATTTGGAATCAGCGGCCCTGATCAACCTAGTTCGAAGAGTTTTCAGCTTCTTTGGTCTTTTTTAGAGGTAAAATATGACCCTCAGTGACGCAAAACCCTCTTCAAAGCTCCTACCGTAATTCCACAGTAATGAAGAGAGAACGCTAATTCGCTCCATACAAATCCAAGTTGAAGCCAGCTCTACAAAATGACACTTAATCCTATCTGAAAGATTTCACGGCAAGAAAATTATTAACAATAATGAAGTAGACACATCTTTTTGGGACACTCCGTATTTACAGTACAGAGCGAATAAAATATCGCCTTTCCACCATAAGATTACAGTACATTTTGAAGAGGTTCCAAATCACAAGAGTCATATGTTCCCCCATAAAAAAAGCAAACACGCTAAGTGTTTACCAAGCTACCAATACCAAGCTAAGTAGATTAGCTGATTCCAAACATGAAATGTGCATCTTATCGTAATCCGTTTAAGAATTATGCCACACCCTGCCCAACTGCTTTCCCATTCCTCAAAATCTTGATTAAACGGTTTAAAAGGCTTCACTGAAATGTAAAAAATCAAATACTAAGTTTAGCATGCTATAACCCTGCTACACAACTATTCAAAAAAAAATTTTTTTGCATCATTTGTTAAACGCAGCTAATTCGCAGTGATGAGATACGGTGAAAGCTCCTACCGAAATCCTGCAGTAACATAGAGTGATAAGTGATCTGTTCTGCGCCGTAAACCCAAGTTGTTCTCACGAAATGATATTCATAGGTCGTTAGGTACCTCTAAGCAGATAGTTAATTAAGAATTAAATAATGAGTACATAAGCTTTAGAATTACTATACATGTCAATTTTAGTCCTCCCCCGCCCCCATTTCAGATAAAACAAGATTTTCGAATGGTCCGCAAAAATTATAAGCTTGCGCAATTGGCTTGACATGGAAACAAATTGGAAAAAAATTCTGAATTTACGAAATTTCGAATTACTTTTGTGCAAAATTTTTTAGGGCGTGATTACCGAAATGCCGCTTAATTCCAAAATTTCGTATAGGTCACTTTAAGATCAATCTAAAACAACCCTTGTTAGGTTGTGGTTAAGGACAGCACCTCTATTTAGAAAGAAATCTGTCCGCCCCCACCCCCTTCCCCATCATCTAGAAGAAAATGTCCTGCAAGCGCTATCGAGGTAAATTAATCAGGTTATATTACTCATTTCATGCCATTTTCTGCACTCTAAATTCTGAAATGTAAATCGCCTGACGTTCGTTATCAAATAGTGCTCAACAAAAAAAGGGATGACGTGGCTCACGTCAGCGTAATATGATTTTCTACTAAAAAGATAATGACAAGAAAAAGCGTGACCAAAATTTTCAATGCAAACAGAAATAGCTAATCGAATGTAGTTAATAAGTTGACATAGCATTTCCGTTAATTTCGACATTATGGGTGAAAAACTGAGTAATCAACAGAAATTTATGAGGTTTGCACAATGACATCACATAAATCATTTTTATGGTTTAGATCCATAAAAAAGTACAAGATTCAAAGTACATTGTGCAGAACTGTGCGACTGAGATATTACTGTACACAAAGAAGACTTTGGAGAATTTGTGCAATAGCGAAAATACAATAAAAAATACGGTGAAGAATTTAGCATTTTCATGTGAACTTAGTAGTGACACGTCCTCTCTATAGAAAACCTTGCGCGAAATTAATGAAGGTATTTGTCTCAAGACTTTTTATAAAAATAAAAACTGGATCTTGTTTTGGTCACGGGATTTTTTACTTGTTTTTAAAAGATAAATGCACTATATAAGAATCGCAACATTCCTTCTTTCAGGCAAAAAAAGGACGGTGCGTTCCAGAAGATGAAACGAAAATTCAGTAAATGGAAGTTGACGTCCGCCCGAATGGATTGACCACGCCCGCGAATACATCGTCTTTTCATTCCATATATCAGAATTTTCTTTTCTTGTTTCTCTCCTTGTATTTTTCACATTCCCCCAATAAAAAATTTCTGCTTTTAAGTGACAAATATGTGCTTGTTGGTGTTACTCCCAGCAAAATCCCATATGTCGACGAATTCGTTTATCACCCGACGCTTACCTCAAAGAACGTCTAATTTAAGATAACGGAAACTCGTCAATATGAAGGATATTTTCTGCTTTAGCGGTGCAAAACGAGTCGTACAAGAATTTATCTTATCACAAAAGTGTACTTATACACTTAGACCGACGTCAATTCTTCAACAGAGATCACGCGACTTATACGGAGACTGTTGTGTTGGACATCACATGGGTAATAAAACCTCGCTCCAATACGGTCATCAATCTAGGATTATGTTAAAACCTAGAGGCTCGTCTATATAAGGCTAAAGAATGCTTTGCTTAAGTAGCTCAGAAATTGTTTACATTTCTTTTCCTGCCCCACCCTTCTCTCCAAAGAGCGTCTTAGTTTTCCCTCGTTCACGTGAAATCTAATAAGATTGGAGAAATTAGCTTGCACTTCGCAGATGTGTAGTTTTTTCTAAGAAAGCATCTTACATATATATTTCCCAAAATAACTTTGTTACAAAGAAATGGTGCAAAGTACGCTTGCTATATTTGCTGAATCATCAAATTTTGTAAACTTACGAAAAAAACAATTCCGGTTATTTCGGAATAAATTACGCAGAGAGGAAAGTCAACGTTCATCTAAAGTTTCTTCAGTAATTCTATTTTCTAACATTTTTTCGAGACACTATTTACACACTAAATTCTTTCTTGACTAAAAAAGCAATATCACTATTTACACCCTAAATTTTCTTGACTAAAAAAACAATATGTTTGATCAGACACCTGACGTGTACGCTCTTCAGATCTAGAATTTCATGCTCAAAAAAGTTTTGAATTCAAGAATAGGATCTCAAAATAAGTTCCACCAAAAATTCCCAGCTTTGTTCTATAAAAAGCATCTCTCAAACTTTATGGCACCTCGATGGCCGAATTTACATCCTTTCATGAGACAAATAAAAACCTGGAATAGTCGACGTCGACATATGTGCTTCCCAAGGTTTTTTTGATCCAAATGGGAAAGCTTTAAACACATTTTTGAGAATGTTTTAACACTTCGAAGACGATGACTACATTGAGCTCACAACATTAACTCTATCTTCCTAGAAGGAATTATTTTCTTGAGTCAATTTTTTTGGTTAGTAGTGTTCCAGCTGATTCTCACAGTCGCCCTTCGAATCTCTGCCTTCATACGGTTTACAAAAATCAAATTTTCTCCTCAAAATTTCTCACAAATCTAGCATTTTTAAATTCACGGCATTCATTAAAAGTGAGCAATCCAATGTCACACATAGATGATTCATAGGCTCTGGATTTGCCAAAATTGGTCCCTCACCCTGAGAACCTTTTTTCTACATCATCTTTATTTCTGACATTTCTTTTCAAAAATGAAGTTACAGTACTCTACTGGGATACTGTAGAAAGTGAGTGTCAATTACGGCATTATTACTTTCTAAAAATTTTGCTGTACATAAACAAAGTCATTAAAATAACGTGTTTTATTCATTTATAAACAACTCAAAACATTCGGTAGCGCTTCTTTTGAGGACACTTAAGCAATTTGTCTCTGTTCTCCTATACTTTTAAAAGCGGGTGGTCTTCGAAGGAATTTTAAGAATTAAAATTGATTACACTTCACGAAACTTTGAAGGTCTATCTCCTACATTTGTGAAATTTGAACTCTACTATCTCACCTTCATATCTTGTTTCCTTGTTCGTGCAGTTTTTTCCCGATTTCGGGGAAGCCCCCTTATCAGCTGTGAGGGGGTCAATAAAAGCACCCCGAGAAGGTGTCTGGTAAACTTTAGCCTACTTCCTTGTAAATTTCTTAACTATATTTTGAACAGCCTTCTTCTGTTAACTGCCTTACATATTTGTAGTCCTATAATTTTGAAATCGTTGTAAATAGGTGTTTCAAGGAGTGTAAACGAAATTTTCAGGCAATCTTCGCCACATTTTTCATTTGCCAAAAATACAACTGCGATCTTTGTCTATACGACATCTTTTACTGCTGGAGTGAATTATGGCATTCATAACACCAGTCGTCACTAAGGAATTCAATCTTTACTCTCAAGAGAAGAGTAAATCTAAATCAAGAAGGCACTCGGCACCCGAAATTGGCGACACTAAAGGTAATTTGATGGTTTTTATAAGTCGTAAAAGAGACTGTAAATATTTACGACATTAAGAATCAATTGCTCAAACTAGCTCCTGCAGATTGTAGCTACGAAAATATTCCACGGGAGCGATAAAAACTAATTTTTAAATGTTCAACATAAATTTTGGTCTTCAGAATAATATTATTTATAACAAAAACAAGCAGTCAGTAATTGATATAAAACTCAAACAGTGATATTTGGCATGTTCATTGCAAGGCATATACTTAGCCGTATATTTTTTTGACCTCTAAGATTTCTGGCTGTTGTCAAATATCCAAACTTTACGAATGAAGTATTGCCATTTGCGCTCGTTATCTTGGTGACCCGGCTGTTTCACGAAGAATTTTCTGGAAAAGGGCTAGACAGCATGCTAAGTTCTGATAAGAACGTAAGCTATCAAAAGTTGTTAAAGAGAACGAATATCAACGCATGAATGTTGAGAGAAAATATGAACCTTTACGAACTTTAGAAAGTTTTTTTTGCTAAGTCAGCAAGAGCAAATCAAAAAAAAGTAAATATGTATATAAATTTTTCAAAGTGAAAGTCAATCAAGAAGGTATGTCAGCCAAACTCCATGCAAGTAAACTTATTAATTCTCAGAAATAAGTTGTTGAAAAATAATCACTTTTTTTTGAAAGTTGGACAACATCTTCAGCTTCGGCTTAGTCCTGCTTGATCTGGTAAGGAGATGCTTTACATATTTGTAACTTGAAATCTCCGAGGCAAAATTTAGAAAAATGCACTATTTTATTTTTCTTCACTTCCGTTTTCTTTCATCTATAAATAATCGGGAGCTCTATATCGCATGACTCATTATGGCAAATAAACCACTTATTGCTAAACCTCCAAAAATAGAAAAATCGCGTTTAGTTAACATATGACAAGTAATAAGCTTACCATATCAGTTGTTTACATAGAATAGTCTAGACAATCCTTGTGAGTGATGGTAGTTCGAAAAAAGGTGTCATTGAAACTTTGTGATTGAGGTGTTTCCTTATCAATCACATGAACCAGTAGCTTAAATGTTTGTAACAGAAATAGAACACTTAGAATAAGCAGTAATTTCATTTTCTAATTTTTTATGCCGTGATTTTTTACTTTATAAAATTGATAGTGAAAATTAGAAAGCATGTGCATTACCATCTCAGGTTTAAGATCATTTCAAAACATATACAAGTTATGTACTATCAAATATTTTCGTTAAAAGTTGTATTGCAACACTTAAGGTACATTTTTGTACAAACGGAAGTACAAGTATGTGCCTTTGTGTAATAAAAGAATTTCACGTATTTGCATCATCAACATTTTGAAGGTCATTCCTCGAAAATGATGTAATATTTGTTGGAACAATTAATTGTCCTTTTTCCAAAAAACTCGAAATATTTTTTGGATTTTGCTGGGATTTTTCTTTGGCACCAGTAGTTACGAATGGTAAGATATTATGTTGCATGTTGGCTTTGTCAGAAATCTAGCAAACTTGTTGATTTTATTTTTTTACAACGAGTTTATGGGGATAGCAGTATTTTTTCGTGCATATTTATTCATAATTTTAATTTCTTGGTAATCTTAAGCTTCGAGCTTTTCCAGATGACACACTCGACGCTTCTGGCGCAAAAAAATCGCGATTGGAGCTGATGAGAGAAAAACGACTCCGACACTACAACAAAAGAATTCAACGAACTCATCCTTTGCGAAAAATTTCCGAGATCAGTAACGAAGCTGTGAACGAGGACGAGTTGACTTTCGATCGAGTGCAAAATGGGTTCACTATCATGAAGCGACTAGTCGAGGTGAGCACGTGTCAAATTATGGTAACCCCGAACTTTGTGATTTTTGAATTCTGTTCCGAGCGCAGTTGCATTTTTGGCCTTTTGCCCTTTTATCTCTACTTGTTTACGAGCAGCGTCAAGCACCACTCGCTGTTCCAATAAAATTTATTGTTATTACAACGCGAACTTGTGAATCAAATGCGAAAACAGACTCGCAGCCGTAAAAAAAGCTTTTACTGGTCTTTCTACATGAATTTCCACGCAAATTTAGGTCCCCGAACCCGAAGAAAAGCACGACCAATCAAAGGATAAGCCTGATTCTATCAAAGAACAGAAAAACCAAAAAGCAAAGACCCATTCCGCTCCCGAAATCTCCAAATCGTCTAAACAAGGAATGGTTCTGAAAATGTTCCACTGGATGGCACGCAGGCATCCGATCAGAGCAAAATAATTTTTGGATGTAATAATGATCCAATATGAGATGATAATAATAATAATTTTCTAGGTGCTGTAAATAAGGGAAAGTTATAGGATTTGCTTCATTTAGTTGTATAAAGTTGTTTTACTAAGTGCAATGGTGGCAGACAACACAACTCCTTATCTGCATTAGGAAGAAGAAATTCATATATTCGAGTTCTCAAGTTTGTAAAGCTTGGGATTTGTTTTAAGTTCGGGTATATAACGCACTAAGGTTTTTTCACAAGAAATTGCAAAGATACTCTTCACAGAAAATTGCCATGACCAGTAAGTTGCAAAAGATAAATCTTGTCTCTGATTTGATTTCAAAAAAAAAAGTAACGTATTAATCTTTAGACAAGGGCTGAAAAATTCGCTTGAATAGTTATAAAGTTGGAACACAGAAAAAAACTAGAAACTGCAAAGTCTAGTTGTTTCTCATGTCAGCATCGTTGCAACAATGTCGTCATGCAAATTTTCTTACAATTAGACTCTTATGCTGAGTATTGAATTTGAATCTTGCTACAAGCTTTTTTCTGGAAAGAAATTTTTACGGATATCGAATTTCTGACATCTTAAGGCTCAGGCTCGTAATTGAAGCGCAAGTCCAGCTAAATAGAAAACATCTTTTTCGTAACCTTCTTTGCAACATTCCGCAATGTTGCTAGCTTGAATGATTACCAATCAAAAGCCAAAAGCAGAAGAACAGTTATGCTAGCCTATTAGATATCCTTGTGAGAAAAAGAATGTTATTTGATGTGCACTAAACTGGATATCCATGTATGAATAGGAATCAAAATTAGGGTGCTTCTCAAAAATTTTATGGACAAATTTCACCATACCCTTTGTTCTCAAATACGATTCCTATCTTTTATTCAACTGAAAAAGTTACAGAGAAATTACTACTTTCTATTCCAAAACCCTCAGTGCCCATGACAGATACTTACATCATTTGAAAAAATTGTATAATAAATGCCGAATTATGCACTCGGTAAAAGAAATGCGTAAGCTCAGACATCATGTGAGGTTGCGGACATTTTTTTTCGTGCATTTACCTCAGAAGATATTTTTGGAGAACTCCTCAAGGTTCAAAAACAGCTACAATCTGCATGTTGTTGTTTTTTTTTTCTTGTATATGTAAGCAATATTTTTCTCCTTGTATCAAACCTTCATCTCCAAGAAAATTAAAAAGTCGTAAAGTTGTGTGATCGCCAGATTTTTTCTAGTTAAAAAGGATAAGGGTAAAGAGGATAGGTTATGTAAGCCAAGTTTTCAACACTTTTAGCGGCCCACTGAAAAAACTACAATTTGAATACCTTTATCAGCTTTCTTTGACGCGATATGACAAGTCTCCTGATCAAAATAAAGATCAAATAGGATTTACTGTGAATCGTCACATTTTTCTTAATTTTGTTACAAGATTCATGTTCCAACCTGTTATGACCACCAACCAGCGCTCAAGGCAACTCGCATGTGCATGCTCTGAACCTTAATTCAGTGGTTCTTGAGTTTTTTACCTCAAGTCGAATATCATGTACCCGAAATTTTCTGGGTATGATCACGAATGTGAGTTTGGAGATGGCCAATTTCTTTCAACTCGCCAATTCTTGCTAGGACTGTACTGCATGACTAGTAGTTCTATTGCCCTAACGACAGGAAGATCTAAATTTGCTTATAAATACAAAATATTTTTTTTGAATTTCTGCTTTTATCATCCTACATCATGACGACCAATGCAACCCTATCCTAGGATCCAAAAAGCGAAATTGTTATTAATTCTTACTTGAAGACAGATAAATATAATTGTGCTCTAGTGGCTTGTAAAAACTAGTAATGGCAAACTAAAAACCGGAGGATTGAATATCTTAAGAAGCAAAAGTGGAATATTCGGTGCATAGTTTCTCCAAAACATCATTCTTAGAATTCCAAGCAAACTTACTTGAGTACGGCGGCAGGCTGTCACTCTCGCTCAGGTGCTCAGCAGGTTTTCGAACCTACAAATAATAGCGCAAAATTCATAAAAGACATGTACAAAATTACTTAAATTGGTTTTCATATGAGACAGGACTTAGTTAAAGCAAAATAACGTGAAGCAAATTGATAAATTGGGATCTGGGGTAGACAAAAGTAAAAAAAATGCGAAAATAATGCATGAGCTTTGTTTAGGTTGAATAAGTCTTGCAAGAAAAAGTGCTAAAAATTCATTTAGAATTTCAGGCTTTGTTTCATATCACATTTCATATTCTTTAATACTTACAAAAATGCTCCTAACTATGCATGTTTGAAACTTTAATCGAAGTAAAATCGAAATGTCGGGTTAGTCCAAAACATAAAAGCAGTAGAAACACTCGATCAATTTTCCACAGATAAAAAAAGAGTAAGCCGTGACACGACAATCAAATAAATCAGACTATTTCGAACCTTCTAGATTTTTTAGTGACTAAAAGTCAAAAAAAAACGATTTGATTGGTTCTCTTATCACCATGTACCACATCGTTATGCCAATATGGATTTTTGCTTTAGGCACTATTGAAAATCATGATTCTTCTAAAGCAATATTGAATTGAACAGATTCGTCGAAAGACGAATACTTAAAGTTTTTCAAAGATTTTGGTGGAAAATGGGTAAACCAAATACATATTTCATCACAATTGTCTATGATTATGAAATAAATAATCTTTTTAAAGCCACGAAATTATTACATATTACGTTCTCACTTTGTGTAGTGATCGTACTTCAGTTATATAATAACAGTGTAAAAAAACGAAATCCTCTAATATACAAAAGATGGAAACGCTGAATTACAGTAGTTTGGTGTTAAAGGGCGATCGTTCCGGGAGCCTGGGTACCGTAACCCCTTTCAACATCCATCCTTAGAAAATTGGAAAAGTGGGCGACTACTATGGTACACGGTGCTAGAGGCGATGTAGTCTCCATGGTCTAGTGGCTAAGGGGTGCGACTCTCAGCTGCCAGACTCACAGATCCTATTCTATAGAAAGAATCCGTGTCTCAAAGTTCAAAGGTAATTCCGCTTTAAGGCCATATTTCGCCCTCAAAATGAATGAAATTCAAAAATCTAAGGGCAGTTTCGCTTAAGAGCTTTTCTTGTTCTTTTTATTGGTACCATTCTCTTCACCCTATCTTTATTGGTTGGTGAGTTATGAGCGCTCAAAGTTAGCGTATCGGTTAAAAACGCTGCTGATTTTTGAGTGATGTTTTTCGTGGTTCTGATGACACACATGCGAAGTTTTGGCAGCTTTTAGTATTTACAAAACGCTAAAAACCTGTATAGGTGCTTCCAGTCATTTGATGTCATAAGTCACTGTGGAAGTAATCAAAGACATTCTGAAATTCTCCCAAAGGGCTGCTGCAGAGCGACGACTATCAGGGAAATAAGTATTATGGAGTAAAATGCCAAAAGCACGTACAGTGAATGAATTGTATTACTCTAACATCACAAGCAAAGAGTTTCGCTTCCTTCTTTTGCTTAGGCTAAATAGATGTGGCCGGCTCACGACAAATATAAACTATGTTCATTTCAAGTGCGCTATGATACTAATCGCAGTTTCATAAAGCAGTGTAGATGACAAAGAAAAGAAAACATGGTAGGAAATCTATTATATGAAAAATGAGTAAGGTGAAAAGAATAACGAGCGAAACGACAAATTATTGTACCTTGTAACAAGGATACTCTGTACCCCACTAAGGCCAAATTCTAACATTCACTTCTTTTTTCACTGAACTTAAGCAATCACACAACTATTCGTAAACGCCATTAACTGAGTGAGAGAAACCATGGAGAATGGGCCAGATCAAGGGCGCCTCAACAGTAGATAACCTTCACTCCCTCTCTCACTTGCATCTTTGAAACCAAAACGTTACTATGCTTTATAATGTGAATGCTCATGATGGAATGTAAAGCCTAATCCTTGACAATAGCGGTCATTTTGCGAAGCAGATGCGAGCAGAAGTTTGATAGCCTTTCGTGACTGACGAGGGAAGTACTTTCAATGGCCGTGGCTGTTTGATATGAGATGCATATCTTCTGAAGCAGCTTCGAACGCTAATCTCAAATCTGCTTTCCGTTTCTGCGGAACGCTCTTCTGAGGAAAGTTATGGAAGTTTAGACATCGTATTTTGGGGCGCTCCTTGAGTTTGAGGGCGCTGCTATGTGCGTTGGTGGTGCAGTAGTGTAAATGATTACTTGCTGACATTGAATGCGAAAGGTTGATGGTTCAAATCCGGGGTAGAGCGAGCCATTTTGCATTTTGAATGTGAGTTTAAGCACTCTAAATCGTCTGCAGAAACTTACTGTAATGCCTTAGAACAAACAGGGGAGAACATCTTTTCGACTAATGACAGTGTGCACTTTTTGAGCTTTATGTGGTGACAAACGTGCTAGGCCATTTTGGTCCTGTTTTGTAAGGAAGTCAAATAGAATTTCAGACTTTCATTACAAGCAGTTTTTCCAGAAAATTCTTTTTCTAAATCACTTGTGCCAAAAGCATTATAGTAAGTGTCTGCAGGCGATTTAGAGTGCTTTCAAACTCATATTCAATGAGCAAAATACTTCGTCCTCCACCGGATTCGAACCATCTACCTCTCGCCTTCAATGTCAGCAGCTAACCACTACATTACTGTACCACCAATGCACATAGCAGCGCCCTCAAACTTAAGGAGCGCCCCCAAAATAGAATGCTCAAGCTTCCATTGCTCTCTTCAGAAAAGCGTTCCGCAAAAACGGAAGGCAGATTTGAAATCAGCGTTCGAAGCTGCTTCAGATAATATGCATCTCATATCCAAGGCCATTGATAGTACTTCCCTTGTGAGTTTACGCCCACGCACAGCTCGCTTTCATGGGCAGCCGCTTGCGTTTGAGACTAGCTAATAACACTCCGTAAGTACAGTACGGACACTGTTGTGAATTCACTCTGGAAATCACCGTAATTGATCTCTTGTTGATGAAAATGTCTGAAACTTCGCTGTATAGTGCGCATGCTAACCGACCATGTCAAAACTGTTTCCGGTCACTTGAACTTTGAGCGGAGAGTAAAAAATTGCGAAACCGCGTAGCT